TCCCCACTGAGCAGGGAGCAGGATGCTGGATGCTCTATGTTCAATCCCAGGACCCTGAGATCATGACCAGAGCTGATGTTTAACCAACTGAGCCACCCAGGCACCCCTCCATTTATTTGAGAGAGAGAAGGGGAGAGAGAAAGAGCGCACACAAGTGAACAGGACAGGAAGAGGGAGAAAGAATCTGGAGCAGACCCTGAGACCACAACCCCAGCTGAAACCAAGAGTCAGTTGCCCAAAGGAGCCAGCTACCCAAGCGCCCCACAAATGAATTTAAAGAAATTCTGATGATGAAAATATTTCAACTGAGAGGTTAAAAATATGAGACAAAAAAAATCATGTTGAGATTTCTACGTCAAAAATCTCTAGACCATATAAACTATATGAGCTCAATTTTTTTTAAAGATTTTACTTATTTATTTCAGAGAAAGACAGACAGAGTGCATGAGGTGGGGGGGGCGGGGGTGTGCAGAGGGAGAAGCAGAATCCCTTCTGAGCAGACAGCCCAATACGGGGGTTCCATCCCAGAACCCTGGGATCATGACCTGAGCCGAAGGCAGACACTTAACCAACTGAGCCACCCAGGCACCCCTATGAGCTCATTTAAAAAAAAAAAAAAAACAGGTTGTAGAGGGGAGATATATTTTGATGCTATCTAAAACCTGGTAAAAAAAATTCTTTAATAATTCTGAAAGTTTCAAATCCCATAAGTCATTTTAAAATTAAGATAAATTTGAGGACTGCCAAAGGGCAGCGTCTGTGTGAGCTAAGGCATGTACCAGATAATTTAACATTCGATACCAGAAAGTTCTGAATTCAGAGAGAATATCCAGATCAGAAAGAAGGGGGCAATTACAAGTCTCTAGTGAAAGGAAGTGGAGACCAACATTTTTAAGTCTTACTAAAATTAATCCCCTCTACTCAGGATCTGCAGAAACATTGTTACACTTAGAGGTTAAGGTGCTTGGTCTTCTCTTCATCCAGGAATTGGTGGCAGCCCTAATTGAATCACATATATGAAAATAAAGGACAACTGCCTGGACCATAAATATTAAGTTACGCTTGTCACTTAAAAAAAATTCACAATTTCCTTCAGTTTTTTTAAAAAGCTTTATTTTTAGAGAGAAAGAGAGAGAGAGAGTGTGTGTGTGTATGTGTGAGTGGGGAGGGGCAGAGGGCAAGGGAGAGAATCCCAAGCAGACTCCCTGCTGAGCACAGAGCCCTGTGCAGGGCTGGATCATATACGACCCTGAGATCATGACCTGAGCCAAAATCAAGAGTCGGGTGCTTAACTGACTGAGGCACCCAGGAGCCCCTCATTTCAATTTCTAAGTAAAAAACATGTTTGTAAAATAAAATGGAGTGGTACTTTTTATTTTTTAGCATATGAGAACTTTTTGTTTTTATTTTTAGTTTTTCCTAGTGCCATTTAGAGTTGCCTTTTGTTTGATTTTACTTATCCAGCAACCCATGAGCCAGCAAGTAAATAAAGTATTTGTAATTCAAAAGACGATTCAAATGAAGACAGGATGATCTTGGAGTATTCACTCTAAACTTGAATCCTCAAATGCTTCTAATCTCTTTAAACATTACTCTGGTTCAAGTATATTTCGGATTTATGATTTGAAAGGGCTCAGTTATCTGACGAGAACAGGAGCATATTAAGTCTCTGCATAATACGGTTTTGAAATGGCATGCACATTAGACACTAAGCAGTTATTAAACCTTGCTTTTAACCTACCAGTTTTCTAAATCTTCCCTCCACAGCTTGATTCCCAGTAGAGAAAAAAAGTAACTCAAACAAAAATTTTCCTGTTTACTGCAATAAGCTATTTAACTTATCTGTGCACAGGCTGAGAAATTATGGAACAGGGATTAATGTATTTGCCCATAGGGGACCTTGCATAGATGGTCAGCCTGAATTTTCATTTGTATTTTCAATTCATATTAGGATTACCTATTTTGACCCACTTACAAATTGAATGACATAACAAAATAGCACTATTTTCCTACTTGCTATTTAACTAATGCTGACAAGTTACTTTCAGCTCTTTGAACTTAATTTAGCTTATTTGTAAATTAAGATAACAATATAGCCTGCTAAAACAAATGAACTAATATTAAAGTACTTTGACAACTATAAAATATTATGTAAGTGTAAAAAATTATATATTATGCTACTTTTATATGAATGAAACCTAGCTGGTTATTTCCTCATCATGCCTTTTATAAAGAGAGGAAAAAACAGAAAGATACTGTTTTGAAGTAGTCTGATAATTGAGATTTCAAACTTAAGAAACACTTTCCTAACAATTAAAATAAAGTAATATAGGTTAGTGCTAAAATATACTTAATCTAGCCAATTGAGTTTTACATATTAAGGAAAGATTCCTGAAGGCTAAATATAAAACATATCAACAGAACAGTCACATATGATGGTGGGAAGAGAAGAACTGAAAACAAATGTTATACTTCCCAATTTGTTCTCAGTCATTCCCAGCTAGAACATCTAGGGTTAAGAGTAGAGTTAGGGGCAGGAGCAAGGGCAGGTTTAGAGTCTGGGTTATAGTTTTGGCTAGATTACAGCAGGCATTTTAATCAATCACTTTTTTCTCTTAGTCAACTGGAAAATAATAAAATTTATGATGATGAGAACACAAGTGGTCATGTGTGAAGTGCTATACCATATATAGAGATATAGAACGTGTATATATGTTTTTACATAAAATCACAGTTCATTTTACCTTACAACAACCCTATTAATTTTACTTTACAGGCAAGAAAACTAAGGCACAGAAGAGTTAAGTAGATTGAGCAAGGTCACACAACACTACCTGGCTCTTGGGCTTTTTTATTTTTTAAAAAGCCATATTGAAGTTCAGATTATATACATAAAATTTATCCAACTTAATGTACAACTCAATTGAGTTTTGACAATTTTACGAGGTTCAACTGTCATTACAATCCAGTTGAGACATTTTCATCAAGCCAAAAAAACCTCTCATACCTATAAACAGCTGGCCTTTAAACAACAGGGCTTAGGAACATCAACCCCATCCCACTGGAAAATCCACTCCTGATTTCCCAAGAACTACTAATAGCCTACTGTTGAGCAGAAGCCTTACTACCTTACTAATAACATACAGTTGATTAAGATATTTTACATGTTATAAGTAACATATACTGTAGTTTTACAATAAAGCTAAAGAAAAAACTTAAGATCATAAGAAAAAATATGTTTACCATACTATAAAAAATCTGCATAATAAATGGACCCACACAGTTCAAACCCATGTTGTCAAGGATCAAGGGTATAGTCAATCCCATCAGAACCCCCAGCCCTAAAAAACCACAAATCCCCTTTACCTATAGATGTCTTCTCTGGGCATTTCATAGAAATGGAATCATATCAACATGTAGTCTTCAGCATTGGACTTGTTTTAATTAGCATAAGGTTTTAGAGGCTCATGAATACTGCAGTGTGTATTACCTCATTTCTCCTTCTTGCCTAATAGTATCTTTTGTTGGGATATACTACATTGTATATCCATTTATCAGTTAATGGACATTCAGGTTATTTCTCCTTTTCGGCTCTTATAAATAATGCTGCTATGAACACCCACATACAGTTGTACTGACAAATATTTTCAGTTCTCTTGGGTAAATACCTAGGATTGAAACAGTTTATATGGAAAATTCATGTAAAACTTTTTGAGAAATAGCCGAAGTGGCTATTATTTTACATTCCAGCAGTAATGTATGAGGGATTTGGTTTTTTCACACTCTCACTAACACTCACCAGAGCTCAAGAACTCCACCACTACCCTCTCCGGCCTTTCACTGACCACATATGTGTCCCAGAATGTTGGACAGGAGAGAGGAAGGAGCTAAGTGAATGGAGAAGTAAGGGAGACAGAGATCCTTATACTTTTTCAAAGACAACCACATCGATTCCAACTGATGAACCTATATTGACCCATCAGGGCCCTCTCAAGTCCACAGTTTACATTATGATTCACTCTTGGTTTGTAGGTTCTATGAATTTGGACAAAAATGAAATGGCATGTATTCACTATTATATGTGATGATGATAATCCTAAATCCTGCAGTTATATGGTAATATTAACAACTATATTGCAATAGCAAGCAAACCAATGTGATAAAATGGGAAGAACTATCCTTAATAGAAGAATTATGTGAGCAATATTTAATGGGCAATCTATAATATCAGGTTTATTTACTGTATATTGAAGTTAGAAACATTTTTCATGTTCCTTTAAATTTCTTTTAAAATAACCAAATACTTGTTAAAGCAAATCCTTGTCTAATATTAAATACTATATTTATAAATTTTTACCAAAAATCAAATTTTACCTCTAATTGCATTTTCTACCATAAGAGGATATACAGTGAAAGTAACTTAAGAAAATACTCTTATCAGTTCAAGGTTATCCTTCCTTGTTGGCAAAAGTGGTTAATCACAAGACCTGAGGACAATGAAAGTGACCAGAAAAAAATACAGGACAAATTCCTCAACAGATGATTTTTTTCTTTGTTTGCTTATGAAAGACATTCATAGTTCATTAGGGATTTAAAACACTATGGAATTTTAGATACAGCCAAACAAGAGGATGTGCAGTATTGTACTTGGAAAATAATGAACAAAATATAAGAGTACTACAATTGTTATAAAGCCAAACCAAGTAGACTATTTTTATAAAAAGCTTTTCTAACAAAAACAGATGTAACTATATTCCATGTGTAATCCCACTGTAATAATGTATTGCCTCTCAAAAAAAAAAAAGTTGGCTGACATTTTCTAGACAACAGCAAAGTAATATAGACTATAAAAATATCGAGCATATGTACAGCTTTGTCATCAGGAAAATGTTAAACAGAATTGTTGAGAACTTTACAAGGAGAAATAAAAGAAACTGAACATATTAAAATAATAAAACATGACATTAAAATGTCATTCAGGAAACCTCTAAAATCATTACCTGGAACCAGTTCCATAATGATGTAGATAGGCTGTCTTTGTGTGCAAACGCCTATAAGTTTGACAATATTGGGATGATCGTATTGCTTGAGAATTCTGGATGAGAGAAAAGTGTAAAAACAGTTACCATTTAAATACTAAAACATTAAATCAGCATGAATAGTATGCCCAAGTAGAATATACTTTACTTGACATAATTCTCTTTTTAAAACTTTAGTATGAAGCCAAATTATGATAAATGATGAGATGTACACAAGTGTGGATAAATATTGGCAAACTACAGGTACAAATGAGTCAATTCTCCTTAATCCAATTAAATTTTCATTTAAAAATTACTGAATAAGTAAAAATCATGCTAAGTATGAACAACTTACTTAGTCCCAAACACATATAATTCCCTTCAAAGTATCTCGTTTTAGCTGCTACCACAAAAGCGTAATTGATAAGTATTAATGGACCAAAAACTGTAAGCCGCTAGAGTGGCATCTTTTTGTTTTGTTGTTTTAGGACACACTTGATTGAAAATACATAAATAAGAATTCAATTCATATTGGTAAATGCTACAGGCTAATTATCTCATTAGATTTTATAAAATACTATCTTGAACATGATCAATTTCAAAATAGTAAAAACAAAAATTTTAAGAAAACTGGCTAAAGATAAAAAATAAGTAACAGTTTTAATATAAACTTAAGCTGAAGCAGAGGGGACTTTGCTTGGATAAAGACAAAATTTCATCCGAGGGCTATAAAAGTAGCATAGCCTCATCCATGGCACTCCAAGCATAAGTTAAGTTAGATTCCATCATAGGCCTATTTACCCTGAATATTTGTTACCAAATTTTATTCCAGATTATCCTATTGACATAGTTATAAATTCACTCATATTTGAAAAATGCAGTTTTCTTTCCTAAGAGAATGAAAAAAAAATAACTATTGGGAGAAAGATAAAACAGTTTATAAATGTTTTGTACAAATCCAACTAAAGCAGAGATAACTCTAAGAAAAATGCTTTAGATTGAAAATACATAATGATTTATAAGGGAAAAGATAGAGTGGGAAAAATTCTAGAGATAAGGAAAATATTGTCACTAACTTGGAACTTGCAACTTTTATGAGGAATTAAAAAGGAAGTCTTGGAATGTTTGACTTTAATCCAAAATGTCATTTTTTTTTTTTTAAAGATGTTATTTATTTATTTGACAGAGAGAGACACAGCGAGAGAGGGAACACAAGCAGGGGGAGTGGGAGAGGGAGAAGCAGGCTTCCTGCCGAGCGGGGAGCCCAACGTGGGGCTCGATCCCAGGACCCTGGGATCATGACCCGAGCCGAAGGCAGACGCTTAACAACTGAGCCACCCAAGCGACCCCAAAATGTCATTTCTTAAGTTGGAAACTGCTTAGTAAAGAAAGTCCACAAAATAGCCAGGCTGAACTCAATATTAAGTATCTAAATATATAGCTCTAGTGTCTATTTAATGATACTTGGGAGTTCCCATGGATACAACTCTCCTTTTTAACCTAAAACTTCCTAATTCCACTTTAGAAAATGGACTTTTCCACTTTAAGAAATTTAATACTTTATTTTGTAATAAAACAATCACAAATTAGAGAGCAAGAAAATTAACTATTTTTTCAAAATAATGTAAGATATAACCTTGGACCTTAAGAATACCTATGAATAACTATGCAATGAGCCTAAGAATTTCTTTTGTGATAGCATGCCTTTATCACAGCATATTTTTGGCCTTCTAATAATGTACCTTTAAAAAGTTTACAACTTTATTCTATGATAATATTTTAAAAATGCATCCAACTAGGTTAATCCATTGCTATCAATATTAATTTTTAGATAATGAATGGAGAAATGTACATCAAAATGCTCCATCCTATGGCCCTAGTTCTCTTGTTGCCATCATCTTGGTTCTCTGACAGCACTTTATAGGAACTTCAATTTTATACACTATGCCATGATAGAGGCACACCTAAGCACACACACACGCACATGCGTGCGCACACACACACCCCTTTCCCTTTCTCCCTTTAAAACACAAATCTCTATGTATTCCCCTTCTTTCCCATCCATGTATCCATGCATCTCAGAATGAGAGTTCATTCTTACTCTGTCCAAAACATCTTTCCATTTGTTTTGTGCTGTGTTGTATATACTGGATTTTACCACTAATAGAACAGTGTTAACCACATGCAATACAGGGATAGCAAATTGGAACATTAAATTTTAGCCAATAATCCTAGAAGATTAGAAAAGAAACAATGTGCAGATTTTGGAACAAATGCCCCACAATGAGTTGAAGAAGAAATTTGAGGTTCTCAGAAAAGAAAGGTAACAGCTCAGTAAAGACTATCAACTGAAAACATCTAAGGAAGGTTAGATATAATTATATGTCCTAAATATATATACATAAATTATGTATTTGTATATAGACTATAGTAATATTTTTATTATAAAGACAATCACAACATTGCATATATACATGCCTATGTAATGTATGTGTGATAAAAGCAAAAAATACTGCAATATACCAATACTGAAGAATACTCACTGTTTTTTAGCATCTGGTTCTTTTGACTGTGATTGTATAACTAATGTATAATCTAGCTCAAAAACAAACTTTTTGTTTCTACATTGTGTAAGTGCTTACTTATGAGGGTTCTAAAAGTGCTTCCCTCTATTTCAGTAAATCATAATTTAAGATAATTCCAAACATCACATTTAATGCTATAGTGTTACCTTATAAATAAACGTTTAATATAACTTTTGTAAACTCACTTGGCTTCTTGTAAAAATTTTATTTTCAGTTCCTGAGGAAGGTCTTCTTTACATGTTTTAACAGCAACAGCAGTTTTATCCTTTAATATGCCCTTATATACTTCACCAAAATTTCCCTGAAAATACAAACACATTTATTGTTTAAGATATAAGACAGCCACATCAATCTTTGCAAAATACAAGGAAAGCACATAATAATGAATTTTGAGTTCAAAGTATTCTGTTAGCTTTATTCAGAGTCTTAAGTGGAACTAAAGATTGGAAATGTTGCTCTTTCCAATTCTCCAACTTTAAAAATAGTACCCAACCCACCTACTATTTGGGGGATCGAAGCTTGAGGAGAACCGAAAAAGAAAAAAGGGGAAAAAATTCCAAGAGACTTGGATAAAAGGAGAAACTCAAATTGAAGCCATCAGAAGTATTTAATTTTCACATCTCCTAGTGCTCTTTACCCCCAAGCTCTAAATTTTATTAGATTAAGAAGTTATCAATTAATGTTTCAAGATAAAGCAAAGACTTCATGAAGTGCCTGTTGGTATGGATCCTCAAAGCTGAGTATCAGTTGAAGAGTGTCAGGGAATAAGGGAGAGGCAACAGAACTAGGCAGACCAAGAAAGTATCACCAGCCAACTGCAGACTGTCAATCTCAGAAAAGCTCCGAGTAAGAGAAGGTGCTTACCCAAATGCCAGTGTCACCCATGTTGAGTTTCTATCAAATGTATAAATCCCTAACTTCATGCTGTGGCTCTAACCTATTTTGACTTAACTTGCCTTATTTCAACTTTGGAGTTGTTTGTTTTTTATTATTAATATAAAACCAAATATTACGAAGAAGATCTATAAAGTTAATACAACTATTTTTTAGTATTCAAGTTTTTATGTATGTATATATATTGTTTACATAACTATAATCCTAACACGCAAGCCTTATAATAAGCTTCAATGCTATTGTTGAGCAAGAACTAACTGAACTAGGACTCTGTTAGTTATTGGGTTTGAGTTCTAAGTGCAATGTAACTTTTTTTTAAGATTTACTTTCTTTAGATAGAGAGCGAGCACATGCATACAAGCAGAGGGAGGGGCAGAGGGAGAGAATCTCAAGCAGATTCCCTGCTGACTGTGCAGCCCCAAGGTCATGACCTGAGCTGAAATCAAGAGTCAGATGCTGAACCAACTGAACCACCCAGGTGCCCTGAGGGATTTAACTCTTAATAGTTCAAGGTGTGTAGTTTTATGTTATTAATAAATTTAAAATTACTAAAATATTTATTTCAATATATATTTTTGTACCTGTACATTTACATCTAATTTCTATCAGAATTTTTAATTTTTTAAATTCTAGTGTAGTTAACAGTGTTATGTTAGTTTCAGGTGTACAATGTAGTGATTCAGCAATTCCATACATTACTTAGTGCTCATCGTGGTAAATGTACTCTTACTCCCCTTCGCCTAGATCACCTATCCCCACTCACCTCCCTTCTGGTAACCATCTATTTTTTATGATTAAGAATCTGTTGGTTTCGGTTTGCCTTTTCTTTTTCCTTTGTTCATTTGGTTTCTTAAATTCCACACATGACTGAAATCATATGGTATTTATCTTTCTCTGACTTGCTTAGCATTATACCCTCAGGATCCATCCATGTTGTTGCAAATGGCAAGATTTCATTCTTTTTTATGGCTGAATAATATTCCATCGTATATATTTACCACATCTTCTTTATCCATTCATCAGTCAATGGTCACTTAGGTTGCTTCCATATCTTGGCTATTGTAAACAATGCTGCTATAAATATTGGGGTGCATATATCCCTTTGAATTAGTATTTTTGTATTCTTTGGGTAAATTCTTTGGCTGGATTGTAGGGTAGTTCTATTTTGGAATTCATTCATTCTGAAATTCATGGTCCATCATCATCAACATTTTATCTTCAATATATTCTCTGGTGATTCTCTTCACCTTTTTGTTCTAACAAACTTGGCTCTCACCCGAGCTTTCAAATGGTGGCTGAGCTTCCTTTTGCCTTCTGAACTTAAGTGAAGATTCCCCTGTCACCTTCCCTCCTCCCACTGCCCTGGAGATGATATAGAGTATTCAACTAACTCCTTGTCACTGCTTTCAAACCATTTTCCCTCCTGCATTCCCCAAAACAAAACTCTGAAACTTTATCATTTGATTATATATCTACTGCCCCTTACTGTAGCTACCAGCTACTGAATTTGAAAATATTTTCCTTTGGTTATTAACAATTTGAACTCCTACAACACAGTACTCAGTATTACTCCTGCCTGTCTTAATTACTGTCAATTTCAGTAGACACTTAAAGTACCTTCCAACACTTCAAACCCTCAGTTTCTTGAAATCATTTTTCCAGTAATCTATTTTCTAGGATCATGCCTTAAACTTTGCCACTGCCGGGGCACCTGGGTGGCTCAGTTAAGCGTCTGACTCTTGATTTCAGCTCAGGTCATGATCTTGATCTTTTGAGATCAAGCCCCACGTCGGTCTCCATGCTGGACATGGAGCCTGCTTAAGGTTCTCTCTCTCCCTCTACCCCTTCCCCACCCACCCCCCAAACAGAAACAAAACAAAACAACTTTGCCACTGCCAATAATGTAACTCCCCTGTAATACCTCTTTTATTTATCCCATCTTCTGGCTGGCTTCTACATTTGTAGCTTACTTCCTCTAGTATCCAGACTCCAAAAATCCTTTGACCATATGGCAATTTCCAAATCTCTAGATCATACCACTTTTATTATCCAACACCCCCTTAATGTCCTTTCTTCCTTGCTTATCCAGTTTAAATTCTATAGTCAGCAATTACAACTGCTTACCATACATTCTGAACTTCACTGTTCATCTTCATCTATAAAACTCCCTTATCAAATCTACAATCCTGATTAAACTCAACACTTGGCCTAGCCTGCACTTATGCAGCTAAATGTGGCTGTAGAAAATCCACCACCTCACTGACTGGGTTCACTTTAAATTCACGGGCACAACCCTCTAGAGGGCCCTTAATGTTGCTCCATCAATTCTCACCTCTCCCTCTAAAATAGTCTGCTTTTCACTAGATTATTCCCAACTGCAAACTACCACGCTGTTGTGTCTCTCAGGGTAAACAGCAACACAATTCATTCTCTTGAAACTACTACCACATATCTCTGCTTCCTTTTGCAGCAAAGCTTCAAAGAGTTTCATCCTTGCTATCTCTAATTCCTCTCCTCCCATTCTCTCTTCATCTATTCCAGTCTGGCTTTCCACTAAAGCATTCCCAGGAAGCTGCTCAGCCAAATCAGCAGTGGCCATCCCGTTACTAAATTCAATGGTTAATTCCCAGTCATCATCTCATTTGACCTATCAGCAGAATCTAACACCATGGATCACTCTGTTTTCCTTGATATACTGTCTTCTCTTGGCTTCCAAGACATCCTATCTTCTGGTTTTTTATCTATGTGATTGATTTCTCTTTCTCAGCCTCTTTGACGTTTGTGTCTCTTGTCTGAAGTCCATTATTATAGTAACCAGAGTTCAGTCTCCATTTTCTGATACAGACCCACTCCATTACTCAACTCATCTGGTCTTATGGCTTTAAATGCCATCTATAGGGGCGTCTGAGTGGCTTAGATGGTTAAGCATCTGCCTTCAGCTCAGGTCATGATCTCAGGGTCCTGGGATTGAGCCCTGTATCGGGCTCCAGGCTCAGTGAGGAGTCTGCTTCTCCCTCTCTCCCCTGCTCATTCTCTCTCTCTCTCTCCCTCTCTCTCTGTCTCAAATGAATAAATAAATTTAAAAAAGCCATCTATATGTGGTATATATATCTAAGGTAATGTTATTCAACCATGAGAAAGCAGGACATCCTGCCATTTGCAGTAACACGGATAAAACTTGAGCAGTAACACGGATAAAACTTGAGCACATTATGATAAGTCAGACAGAAAGACAAATATATATACTACCACATTTATGAAATCTAAAAAAGCCATATGCATAAAAACAGTAAAATGGAGGTTATAGAGGATGGGTGAGGGGAGCAGATAGGACTGATATTGTCTAAGGGTACAAACTAAACTTTTGAGAAGCACTAGAAATCTAATGCACAAGATAGTGAATATAAACAATATTATATTATAATCAAACTTGCTAAGAGGCTACAACTTTTCAACCACAAAAAAGAAAGGATAATTACACAATGTGCTAGAGACCCTAACTACCACTACAACGTCAATCACGTTACTATATATAAATGTATCATTTTAATATATTGTGTACCTTAAATGTACATTTTATATGTCAAACATATTCCAATTAAAAATCTTAAATAACATCTATATATAACTACCAAATATACAAGCTACAACTGCAAATTTGTACTTTTGATCCAGACCTCTTTTTTAAACTCCAGACTTGAGAGCCAGCTGTCTTCCCAACCTCTCCATTTGGCAGTCAAACTTAATACATCCAAAAACCTAACTCCTAAATTTATTCCCCCAAACTTGCTGCACCTACACTGACTTCCCCTTCTCTCATGCTCCACATAGACTCCATCAGGATATTCAGTTGGTTCAAAATTAAAAATGTAACCAGAACCCACAAGTTTCCACCACCTCCCCTGCTACCAACCTGATCTAGCAACCATCACCTATTAGTTAGGTAAGGGCAATTGCCTCCTAACCTTCCAACCTCTCAGCCTATACTCAACACAACAGCCACAGTGATCTTTTTAGTAACTAAGATCATGCCACCCCTCCGCTCAAAGTCATCCATCAGCTCATCTTTTCATACATAAAGAAAGCCAAAGCAATTATAATGGCCTGCAAGGTTCTACATGATTTACACCCTCCCCGCCTCACCCACTTCCCGTCCTATCACATTCCTCCCTGCTTACTGAACTCAGTTACAGCCAAATTGTCTGCCTTGCTCTTCAAAGAAAATTTGCATTGGTTACTCCCTTCTCCTAGAACCCTCTTTCTCGGATGTCCTCATGGCTAAAATCCCTCCAAGTTTTTATACAAAAGTAAAAAATTTTGATAAAGCGTACCCAGATCTCCCTATTAAAAATTCCAACCCTGGCCAACAGCACCTCCCAACCTCTCTATATTTTTCACAGGACTTAGTCCTCTAATGTTATAAAACTTAGCTATTTATTGTTTATTATTTATCGATCTTCCCCTGCTAGATAGAATATAAGCTCCATAAGGGCAAAGATATTTGTCTCCTTTGTTGGCTGATGTATCCCGAGTGTCTAGAAGAGAGCCTGGCACTAAGGAGACATTCCATAAATATTTCAGGAGTGAATAAAGTATTTCTTGAATACCAAATATATTATCAAATACAGTCTAATTATATATTGCTGAATAAAAAAGTTAACAGTTCCTATCTCAATCTTCTATTACTACTCAATTCGAAAGTCTGTCAGTATAGAAACCATGACTGACTAATTCTTTTGTCCTCATGCACTCTCAAGGAGTATACTGTAAATATTTATTAAGACTAGGTAATGAAAACATTGAATCATAAATCAGTTTATACTCAAAATATTAGCTGAAATTAAGCTATACAGTGTCTCTAAAGTTGCAGTCTTATTAAAAATGATTAAATTTATTTAAAATGACCTCATGCTACTGCCTGTCATTGAGAAAATATTATTCATTGAAATAGCTTTAGTAAGGATCTAAAGATTAAAATCCCTCCTAACGTACCATATCTCACATATTAAACTAAACATAAAAATAATTGAAATACTTCTCTAACTGAAAACTTTTTTCTTGGTACTAAAAAAGCAGTCTTCCCCAACACATTCTATTTCAGTAAGTGGTATATTTTATAATTTTTTTAGTTGTATTTTCATGGAAATTTAATTTCTTTGTAATAATTTTTGGCCCAATTACTGCTACTGAGTTACTGACCTAAAGTAATGGAAAGAATTCCATTCCATTCCATTCAATTCAAACTTTCAAACAGAAACATCAATTAAGTGACGTTAATATTCACCCACTGGGACTCAATCATAGATCAGCAATCAATAAATTTGCAAATAGTCCATTTGATTAATGATCAAATGTCTATTATTATTATTAAACATAATATACATTCATATGGCCTATGAGTTGGAATAAACTTCAAACTAGATTAGAAAAAAAGACTTTTGTCATATATAAGCTGCCTTCTCTGACCACTACCAGATCTACCTATAAAATGAATCTTTATACTGAAACCCGTCTTAACCACATAGTTGTTAGACTGAAATAATGCATCCAGTGTTGTTACATATTGTGATTCTATACACAATCCTGAAATCTCAGAGAGCAGTATGCCATTTTTTTCTGAGTTATCCTGTATAACCAGAAACAAACGGAATACGACTATTAGGTGTTTAAACTTCTATTACCCCACAGGCTCTTTCCCATCTCCGATCACTAGTTTTGGTTTTACCACACCATGAGGACTAAACTCATTGCGGTTTAAGTCCTTCCAGAAGAAAACAGACATATACTATTTTAAAAACCAAGAATCATCCTTAAACTTTTCACAGATTTTTACCTATCTTTTTCACTGAACACTGCTGTATTTGCAGCAGATGTGGTATTGTGTTCACCTGGGTTCATGTGGGAATGTGCGTTGCTGTGTGCTGGAACGTAAGAAAGGCTCTGGAGAAAATAAAGAAATCTGTAGAGTGAACAGTCACTGTAAAGACTTTTGGTTATTTAATTCAGCTGACTACATACCTTGCCCAGTAATTCTCCCAATGTGACATCTTCGTGATTGAGAACCCATTTCTTATCCTAGGGCAAAGAAAAAGAACAACCTTTTTAGCCCAAGCAAGAGTGCATTTCCTATAAGATCCATCTGAGGCAGTAGCCAAAAGAACTAGGGGGTATTTCATTCAGACCATTAAATCAACAGCACTCTCACCAGTTGTAACTTCAAGAGATTATGAAACGGATTTAAGAAATGTTACTAAACAATAGGATTTTAATCTACATTACAGCTAACTTCTATCAGAAATCTCAGCCTTCAAAATGATAGTATCCTTGTAACTAGAACACAGCATGCCCTTTCCTCCCACCATAAAGTTTGGCTATGCTTTAATTTGTCATTTCACAACATTGTGTCCTAAGTACATGAGGGAATATCATTGTACAAGGCAAAATGTTCAATTCCCACTTGAGCATCTAAGATAACATTACTAAGAGCTAATTTTTCCACGTGTAAACTGGCCACGAGTTACAGCTGTCTATGACACTCACTACATGTAGTTCCTCATCTTTTACAAGTACTTTCTTGTAGTATAATAAAGCAGCAAGTATCAATTACAATATCACTAGGATACACAAGATTAGTAATGCAAACATGCCATTATAAAAGAGCATCCTATTATCCGATCTCAAGAACTAACTACTACATAGGGAATATTTTATCATCTAAAAATCTCAGCTAGGAAACTACACAATACTGTAAGGTTAAAAAGGCACATGACTTTTTTTAAAAGAAAAAGGAACAAGTAATGAAGCAAGAAAGAAGGAGAGAGAGGAAGAAATGAAGGAAAAGAGGGAAGGAAAAACAGGGGCGTGGGAGAAAAGAGAGAAGAAAAAGGAAGTCCTGGGGTGATATTTTCTTCATAACTTGTTTTTTTCTTAAGTGTTAAAGTGTAGTATTCCCCCATCATACAGACTGAAAACTAATGTGATCTACATAATGAGTCATAACAAGTAATCACATATCTTAAAGTAAAAATCCACCTTATCTTTAGTTTAAAAATATTCTGGACAGCCATTTGAAGCACTTTACCTTCTGGAACACCATAAAACAAACATGCCCACCACCCTCTGCTAGGTCAACAAAGAGAACAACATTGACTTTTTCCAGTAACAATTTACATTTATAGTCTTTCAATCTAAATATAAAGCTAGAGCCATAAAGGACCTGAAAGAAAACAGGAGAACAGCTTCATGATCAAGAGAGTAAGCAAAGATTTTTTAGAACACAAAAAGCACTAACTATAAAAGAAACACTTGGAATTCATCAAATTTATAAACATTTGTTCTTCTAAGGGCTATCATTTGAAAAATGAAACAGCAAACTACATCTGAGAAAACATTTCTGCATTACATCTATCTAACAAATAATTGAGTGTAGAGAATTCATACCTCAGTAAAAAGTTGAGAAACAACCGAATTTTAAGAAATTGGGTAAAAATCTACAATAGCCAAATTATGTGAACATGGCTGATAAATGGATAAATTAGATAGATAAATAAATAAATGATATATGAATAAATGTTTATGTAATATATCTCAGACACACACACACACACACACACTGGAATATTATTCAGCCAAAAAAAGAATGAACTCTTGCCATTTCCAACAACATGGATGGAGCTAGAGAGTATCATGCTAAGCAAAATAAGTCAGAGAAAGACAAATACCATATGATTGCACTCGTATGTGGGATTTAAGAAACAAAATAAACAAGCAAAGGGAAAAGTAAGAGGCAAACCAAGAACAGACTCTTAACTCTAGAGAACAAACTGATGGTTACCAGAGGGGAGATGGGTGGAGGGATGGGTGAAATAGGTGACGGGGATTAAGGTGGGCACTTGTTGTGATGAGCACTGTGTTATATGTGAATGTTGAATCACTAAATTGTACACCTGCAACTAATTTTACACTGTATGTTAATTGGAATTAAAATAAAAACTTTAAAAAATAAGTTGGATAAAAAATTTGAAAGATGGACAAATAAGAAGTACATCAACAGATGTTTGAGTACTATTAGTGACATATAACTGTAAATCACAGTAAGATGCCAATTCGCACCCACTAGAATATGAAAATTAAAAAGATTAACAGTATCAGGAGATTGTGAGCGTATGGAGCAACTGGAATACTCATACACTGTTGGTAAGGCCGTAAAATGGTACAGCTATTTTGGAAGACAATTTGGCAGTGTCTTATGAAGTTGAACATATACATCAAGATGAGAATCAATAAACAAATTTTGGTGTAGTCAGGCATTTAGTTATTATTCGGCAATAAATAGGAATTTATTACAAATACATAAAACAGAGCATTTGCACAACATTTTGCCAAGCTACTACATCCAAATATACTTTACATACATGCAGACATAATGAGTTCCTTTACATAAACTGTTAGAAGTAGACAACGTATCTGTAATGCCATAAATCAGAGCAGTGATTGCCTGAGGCAAGGGTTGGGGAAGATGGACTGCCAAGAAGGAATTTTGGGGGGTTTAGGGAAATATTCAGTTTATTGATATTTCATTGAACTATACACTTAAAACCTGTGCATTTTGCTGCATGTAAATGATTTCCATAAGGCTGATTTTTTAAAATGAGAAATGTAAAAAAGTAAATATTACAAAAATGCTACTTTTCATTTGAGTAGCACTTCTGGGTTTAATTTCCACTCCATCATACACTATCAAAAGTATATTATCAAAAGAATGCAGTCTGGCAGGCAGCAGAGTTATTATTTTAAAGTTGCAAAACTGATTTGTTGAGAACTTTTTCATTTCAAACAGTGGTAAAACAGGAGGATCACACCAATTCTCCCCCTGAAAACCACTGAATAAAGTGGATAAAATTTAAGAACAAAAGCAAAAAAGCCCCAAACTTTTATTCAAGAGGCCTGAAAAGCAAGTGAAATAGAGCTGAGAGGCTAAATTTAGGTCAAGACCAAAAGTCGAGTTAGGTTAAGAAAAGTTAAATTTAGGTTAAGAAAGGACCCAAAAGTCAAGACCTTTTGGGCTACCTTTAGCATATGCTGATTTTGAAAGCAGCCAAAAACAAAAACAAAAAACAAAGCGCGCGGGCGTGCGCGCGCGCGCGCGCGCACACACACACACACACACACACACACACACTAAAGGACATTCTCTACTAGAAGGAATAAAGGAAGAAAAACAAAAACGGTGAAAATTTGAGTAAATATAATAGACTCTTCTTCTCTTGCATTCTTTAAAATATGCTCGACAAATAGAAAAGAGGTATAAAACTTTTTGATGAGTTTTTCAATTGACTTAGATGCAATACATATGAAAAGCACAAGGAGGGAAAGGTATACAGATCCATACTGTAATAAAGTTTCTGCATCCCACTTAAAGTGTTAGAGTGTTAGGGTACCGATTTTTTGTAAATGGTGAAAAGTTAAATGTTTTTGATAGTTCCTAGAGCAACCACTAAAAAAAAAAAAAAAAAAGGCACAAAGCTACATAATCAAAAATACAAGAGAAAAAAATGTAATGGTATAGTAAAAAGTGTTCAAATAACTCAAAAGAAGGTAAGAAAGGGGAAAAAGGGAAACAAAAAATCAGAACAAAATATAAAATGGTAGTCCTAAATCCAAACATACCAATACCATACATTAGACATAAATTATCTAAATATACCATTTAAAAGACAAATTTTTAAAAAGAATATTAAAAAGGAGTCAACTATATGCTTTCTTAAGAAACTCACTATAACTTTAATGATACAAGTATCTCAAAAGGATAGAAATAGATATAAAATGCAAACATAAATCGTAAGAAAGCTGGAACACCTAGTAATGTCAGACAAAGTAAATACACAGCTAAAAAAATTACCATGGATAGAGGAAAATCACATAATGATAAAAATGTCAATTCACCAAGAAAATGCCATTATCCTAAAAGTCTATGCTTCAACCACCAATACTTCAGAATGTAGGAAACACGGACAGAATTACAAGAACAATTTCACAATTATAGTTGGAGATTTCAAAACTCCTCTCCCAGTAAAAGACAGTAGAGAGAAAATCAGCAAAGATATAAAGTAACTGAATAATACCATCAACCAAGTGGATAAAACTGATATTTATAATAAAACTCCACTCAACAGCAGAATAAAACCCTCTTTGCAAATGCATAAGGAAAATACACCAAACTAAATCATATCATAAACTTGGATCATGGAACAAATCTTAACAAATGTAAAAGAAATGAGGTCATACAAGTTAAGTTCTCTGACAACAAAATTTAACAGAAATCAATGACAAAGTTAACAGAACGTTTCCAAATACCTGGAAATTAAACAGCACACTTTTCAATGATCATGGGTGAAAAAAAGTCTTAAGCAATTCTAATTTACAGCTAAGTAAGCTAAACTAATTAGATGACTAAGGTAAGCTTAACAAATTTAGTTTACAGAATGTTTAGTTTACATTTGGGTTTTCTATCTTATGTTGCTTAATATTTGGTGTGAGTATTGTTTATACTGACCTCATCCTAAACCTCTTATGTACTATTCTGGAATATATACCTGTGCATCCACTATCTCTAGTTTAAGATTTATGACATAATATGCATCTGGAATTCACCCTCATTTTTAAGAAAGGAGATGTTTTATCTCTGGGAAGAATCAAATACCTCAATGTGCTCTAGCAGTAATATCCATAGTATCCATATTTTTTAAGCTTAATACTACTAACATTAAATAGCTTTCAATTCCCCCCTAAAAATACATCAGAATGCACCTGTTATCTATTTCTAAATAGATGATTTAAGACTTAACATACATGAACTAAAAATTACAATGACAAGTCTTGTTAGAAAAGTATTTCAATGTTTCATTAAAAATCTTTCAAGGGTAGTACTTTCTAAACACTGAATTGTTTAAATACTCAAGACACTTGAAAGTTGCCTAATATTCTCATTAATTCTATTTTCTTAGGTATGATGTAATTTTACAATATCTTCAAGTATATGAAAAGTCAAATTTTCTGTGAATGTGAAAAATATT